CTCTCTTTATCTCTCTCTGTGCTGAACCAATGTATTTGCCGAGCCATAGGTAAAAATGTGTGAATGTAGGGGCCAAAGGCCTTTCAAATCAGTAAATTATTTTGAAATCTCTCTCTCTCTCTCTCTCTCTCTCTCTCTCTCTCTCTCTCTCTCTCGCACAGCGTCAGACTAGAGATATTACCAAGAATGACAGCTGCCTGTCCAAAATGAAGCTCTCGGGGAAGTAGGTAGACACCAGCATGCTATTATTGTGAGCCACCAACAGGTCATGGATGATACTGTCCAGGCGCTCGTTGTCACTACCGCAGATTGGCCGGACCACGCTCTCAGACCTGGCAGCGTTCAGTCTCTGCAGATTATAACATTCAGCATTCACGACACGACACTTTTGAAGAGCTTTTTACTAATTAACGTCTATTAATACTCCTACAAAAATCAACATTTGGCAATGCGTAACATACGTGGAGAGATTGTATGTGAGTGTGTGCGTGTGTATGTGTGTGTATATGTATGTGTGTGTATATGTATGTGTATGTGTGTGTGTGTGTGTGTGTGTGTGTGTGTGTGTGTGAGTGTGTGTGAGTGTGTGCGTGTGAGTGTGTGTGTGTATATCAGATAAGCGTGAAATCGAGGGGGCGGGGATGATGATGGCGATTAAAGAATCATAATCATTATTGATTTCAACCGAATTTAAAAGACGACCCCCCCGCCCTCTTCTGTCAAAAACAACAACAACAACAACAAACAAACAAAACAACCCGACAAGCATAGGCCCTTGTAAGCAGCTGGTGGACTGAACGTCTGATCCATAGGTTAGGCTAAAAACTAGAATGAATTGTGTTAAATTTACCTGAAACCTTTCCAACAATTGTATGTGTTTTTTCACGGTCCTCTCGTCGGAAAACGCCCAAGGCTGCTTGAGAATTTCTATCAGACTTCTTTCTATCTCCAAGCGCTCCTGGTCCTGATCTTCAATTTGCGCCTCCCCGGATGCTGCCAATACAACTGCTGATGACGATGTGGATGGACCTGGTGATGCTCCCACAGATGCTGCTGGTGATGATGCAGATGAAAATGATGACGACCACAATGGCTGTGCTGGTGGTGATAACGGTAACGACGAGTTCTGAGGCGTGAACTGCATCATGTCAGCTGAGAGTGACAAAGGACTCCACAGTATCATGTCATACTCCCCCCTCTTCGTGCTTCGTGCGCCTCCCGTGGAGGACCAAGTAGAAGGAGGGGTCACAGTATTAGTTTGCCATGGTGATGGAGATGGCGTCGAAGCAGGCGAAGAAATATGATTCTCAGAGGCAACAGGCGAAGTGTGTTGTACACAGTCACCATCATACGACGCTTCTGAAGCTGCTAGCAAGTCATCCACCAAAGTCTCACCCCCGAAAGACACACCACAGTGGTTTACGGTTGGGTTTGATTGCTCGTGTCCACAGACACCCACGGTCGGTATAGCAATGTTGGAATTCGTCAGTCTCGAAATGGGGAGGGTAAAAGTGTTTTCTTCATGTTCAGAATGGTGTTCTGAGCTTTGGTACATCGTGTCTGTAAGAGCAGTTGAACAAGAAGGAGTTTGGTATAGTGTCTGGTCCAACAAGACAGACGACATGTCTGAGAGGACAGAAGACTCTTCAGAAGCAACGTCTCTCCGGGTAGCTGACGGTTGACATGGAGAATACACCGGGGCCGGAGAACACCAGGAACTATCCTCTCTGACGTTAGACTGAGCGACAGACGTGTCTACGTGATCAGTGACACAGGTCTGGTCGTCTTCTAGGAGGCAGGCAAAATCCAAAGAAACTGAATTTGCTAAATCAATTGATACTTGAGGTACCGTTTCTTGACGAACGATTGGACTCAAAGAGATTGCGTCCTGATCGGGACACGATTCAAATGAAGATGTGCCTGGGGACGAATCAGCTTCTAGAGACCACTTGTTTTGAGATGCAGTTGGGAAAGTGGTAAATTCGTTCTGTTGGATTGGCTGGGCAATTCCACAGACGCCATGGTGGGTACACGGACTCTTAAACAAATCCACCAGCTGCGAGTCTAGAGCGATACCCTTTTTGTTTTTTGAGGATGCTTCATGCGTGCATGATCTATCTTGACGTTCTGGAGCGAGCAATGTCAAAGAGTTGTATTGAGTAGTGGACAATGTGTCCTTTTCAGGAGCTAACAACAGAGAAAATACTTCTTTTTGATTAGAAGGGCCGTGAGCCACATCGCTTTGAGAACTGTTCATGTTCAAATCTTGTGTTCCATTCACGAAAGACTCGTGAATTGTGTCTTTCTGTACCTTACTCTTTTTGGTAAACTTAGTAGTGTTCGAAGAATTCTTTTCATCATCAGCGTGTGGGGCAATGGCATGTTCCTCTTGAGCAGCTTCGGGGCTCTCATCAGCTGCGAGGCCTTGCTGTTTTGCCAGCCTTGCTTCAAGGACATTCCTAGACCGAGTCTCGCTAGTGTAGCGACCGATTTTGATAGCTGAAACGAAGATATATAGGGTTAAAGGGTGGAGCTAAACTCGAAAAATTACTGGTTTTGTAACCAACGCACTGGAAACAGAATAAAACTGCAAGTACATTATTTGTGTGTGTGTGTGTGTGTGTGTGTGTGTGTGTGTGTGTGTGTGTGTGTGTGTGTGTGTGTGTGTGTGTGTGTGTGTGTGTGTGTGTT